CCACATGGTGATAGTTTTGGATGGAAAATTCCTCCTGTTTGGGAGAGGCTGTTCCTGTCTTTGGTTTGCCTTGCTTAAAAACCAGAGGATTTCAAAGCCCCAAAGCATGGTTGGATTTGTGTTGTCTGCTGGTTGGCAGCACACAGCTCTGAGAGATGTATCATGTTAAAATCCATCCCAGGGACAACTGCAGGGTCTATTCAAAAATCCTGAAGTTTATGAGTTTTTCTGAACAGAGACAATCCTACCAAAACAGCAGGTATCCAAAATATCTCTAGAGGCCAGGTTCTTGGAAACATGATCACCATTTGAGGTCTTCAATCCAGAAATCCTGTGGGTGCTGTGCACAGGGGTCCACACTTGGGTGGGCAGATTCCTGGGTGCTGTGGCATTTCATTCTCCAAGCAGCCACCGTTCATCCCTCTCTTCCTTGCTCCCAGCTCGGAGCAATGCTCTGCTTCTGTAAATCTAGATTTTCATTGGGAAAGGAATAACAGAGGGGAAAAGGTAGTGCTGCTGGAGGGATATAAAGTACAGCTGGGCGGATTAGGCTGCAAGGGAATTAGGGAATTAATGATGCTTTAGCAGCTTGAAATCTGCTGGTCCGGAGATGAAACTTTTAAGACGCCCTTGGCAAGCATGGGGAAAAGACAGCCTGTCGAGACAATGCCACCTGCTGGAGACAGCTCTTGGAGACCGAGATTCATGGCACCGGCTAAACTCGTGTTTCTTGGTCGTCCTTGCACCCAAAATCCCTCTTCTGAAGCTTGAAAACCTGAGCTCATGCCTGGCAGGGCAGAGATGTCAGGCACCCACAAGCACAGCCCCTCTACCATCTCCCGAAACATTTCTTTCTCCCAGGTTCCCCGTATCCTTTTTCCCATTTGCCTTATCTGACAGCTAATTATCATTCCAAAGGTAATTGCTGCAGGAGCCATATGGGATCCATAAGCTGCTAATGTGAAGGGGTTTTTTTGCAAAGAATCTTAAGACCTATACATTATTGTTGTTGAGATAGGTATGATTATCACTGCTGTAAAAGCAGCCAAAATTGACAAAATATGTTGTGGAAACAGTTACAGCAGCTCAGACATGAAGACAAGGTTGTAATCCCTGAAGCCATTAAAAGTCTTAGGAGTTTTTAATTGGGAGGAAATTGTATGTTCACAAGCTCCAATTAGAGAGTTACAGCACAAACCCAGACCTAAGGAAAGGGAGGGAGGAGGGAGGTGAAGCTTCAGTGTGGGGACTCCCGCACTGGGATTTGGGAAGCAGCCACTGACAGCGCGGCAGATCCAGGGGGCTCAGCGCTTCTGTGTGCGGATACATGTCGGTTATCTAATAAGCCATTTCTTAAGCTCCAGTGATGCTGCTACTTATATCATAAATTCAATGATCTTCACTTTACTGCCCATTAATCTGCTCCTTTTCCTGACAATTTTATACTCTTTTGATAAACTGTTTGTCTAACCACATGGAAGAAACAATGTCAAAAGCTGTACCTTAGGCGTTCGCCCGGCTAATGAAGAAAATCCATCACAAGGAGAGTTTATCTACTGCTTCGCTGGATGTAAATAAAACATCAGGCTAATTTACTTCCATTTATCTTAAAGGCCGTTGCTACAACAATAGTCCTGTGTCAGAGCAGACTTTTTTTTTCCTTTTCCGCATAAATATTTAAGTAAGTACTGAAAGCATAAATAAATTGCTTTCTAAAAGCCAGATTATTTTTATATCCAGTTATTTAACAATAAATTTGGATTTACTTGCTAGCTCTTGCCTTTCAGGCAGCAGTCAGCCCACGCTTCCTTTGCATGGCACAGGGATGCTTGGGAGGATTTTGCCAAGCATCTTCTGGGGTCTCTGAGTGCCACCTGCAATAACCCACCCTTAAGGGGAAGGAAGCACAAGGGTGGGTCATCACATCACCCCCGAGTGCCACCCCACTCGTGCCACCCCTGGCCAGTGGGTGGGTTCAATGAAAGCTCAGGCTGCTCTGTGAGGTCCATGCAGGCCTGCTGCAAAGACTATTTAGTGTCCTGTGGCCACAATGGGCAGCTCAAGAAATAGCCCTTAAATGCAGCAAAAAGGTATTTAGTTTATGGAGGGTGGGGCCAGCAAAGCACTGTAGCAGGCTGCTGGGGGATGACTGGGGGTCAACAACTTTGGAGACTGAATAGGAGTAGTGAAACAGTGTCTGTTGGCATGCACACGTGTGTGCGTGTCCAGCAGATGGGAGCCAGCTTGACCCCTGCCTTCCATCCCCCAGCCCTATTTTCTGCCAGCTGAAGGGCTGTGCACAGCCAGAGATCTGTTAAACACAGATCATGTCACTTGGATCACTGCAGCATGAAACAGTTCTTTACTGGTGAAGCTCTGGGAAGGTGCATGCCCGTGCTCTCAAAGGCTATTCTCAGAGCACGTTCCTGTGGTGCCAAGGGTGAGCATGAGGGTGCTGCAGGAATGCCCTCCTTCAAGAAGCCCTTGTTTCTCCACTGCTTTTTCCCTTGCTTAGCTGCTGCTGCCTTCCTAAAGCCAAAACCATCCTGCCCCAGTGCTGCAGCCAGCTTGGACCATGTCCTTTTTTTTTGTTACCACATCCCAACAGCATCCATAATAATATCCGGTAAAATTTGGTTAAATCAGGATCACTGCTCAGATGAAATCTTGTTTGTCAAGCATGGTCCCAAGTGAATATTTATAACTATAAAATAGTTATAACCATGAAAATAAGTTTATCATAGGAAATATGACACATTCACAGCTGGAGCAAACTGAACCAAACACTACATGGCTGATGTAAGCAGTCCACGGGATTCCTCTGAACAGCCATTACTACAGTTCAGAGCCTGTGCTGGTTACATAGGCAAGCCCATGGAACAAATGACAAATTAAAGAAGATTAATGATCAGTCTCAGCAAGATCATGGCTTTTGGTTCTCTCATTTATCCATACATGGCTCTTTGTTAAATCATGAGTGATTTTTATTCACATGCGTCACTGCTTACAGATGTACCCATATGTGTACAAACTCACATTAAAACTAAGGAAATGCAAAAAAACCCCCAGAAAAATCCCCACTGTGCAATGTTAAGGTTGAGAAGATGCAACCACAAGCAAGGCAAAAGCTGCTATTCCAGCACAGCAAAGTCCACAAGCTTTGGCCACTGCACAGAGCCCCACCTGCCTTTCAGTTCTCACTGAGAACTTGGATTACATGGGATGAAAACCTATCTTTTAATGAAATTTCTCATTTTAATGAGAAAAAACAAGGCTATGACTAATGCTGCACACCCTAATTCTCTTTTTACCTCACAGCTTTTCACAGCATATTTTTTGGATTTAATTATGTTACATTTACTATCCTCTACTCTTATATAGCCGTGCCTGGGCATGGCTTTTCATAGGAACCAGGTTGAATTATTTCACTCTCCTCCATGCTTGCAAGCTGAGCTCACCTACCAATAATAAATCTCCACAATTCAGGCTTTAGCAAGGCTTCCGTGACAGTCATCCATCCCATGGCATGGCAAATGGGATGATAACTCATGGGGTGGAGAGGGTGCTGGGGGAAAGGCTTTCCCTGCTTAACTGGAGGGCAGGACTCCAGGAAGATGCTGATGGCACTTTGGATGCTGATGTGCCTGCAATGCTGAGTGCTGACGCTTCCTGAGAGTACTCGTGCTTGTTGATTCATGTCACCCACACCTCACTTCATCTTCTCTTCAGCAAGAGGAAAAAGGGGAAAAAAGGTAATTGCTTGCGCTTATCAGCATGGGTGTTAAAGCATCCCCTTGCAGGCTCTCAAACTAACATGATGTTAAGAGGCATGGGGTGGGGAAGGCATCAATACCTGCCTTTTCTTCCCCTGCTACATGGGTGGCCATGTTCTCCAAAGCTATGGCAATGGGACAGCAGCTCTGCATGGGTGCCCACACCAGTCTCACTGAGGCTTCCCAAAGGCACAAGCGATTTGGGGTGCCTCAAGCGTGGAGCCTCTACCTGTAGCGCTGGAAAAATGGAGGGCTGCTCCCTGAGGCCCCTTTAAAAAGCCTTGTCCTGGTGGCAAACCTTTGGCCCACAGGCCAGGAACTGGCAGCTCCTGGCAAGCAAACACTGACTGCATGCCTCAGCTGGGAAACACACTGTGGGGAGTGATAGAGCCCATCCCTGTATCTTTTTTCCTCCTATTCTTTTTGCTTTTGGGTTATCTATCAGCCCTGACACTTGAAGACCTGCCTGGCTGGGATGCTGCTGTGCCTCATCACAGTGGGCTGCTGGGATGACAGGAGCAGGATGGGCTCTGCCGGAGGTGCCAGCACGCTCAGAAAGAGTTTTGCACTCGATTGCCTTCTGCTGAAATAGCCTGGAATTTTTGTTAAAACATATTTCTGCAAGCCTTGGAAAGAGTTTCTCACAGCCGTGCCCAAGGGAGCAGTCAGGAGTGCTAAACACAACCGTGGGAGTTTTGCCTTTTAATCCCCTGATGGCGAAGGGAAGGAGTGAGCAAGAGATTTGAATCTTCAAATGAAGAATGCACCCTGGCAGCAGCCCAGGCCTGCTGAGGCATGGCACAAGGCACACGGCACATGGCACTCACCAGGGATGGTACCATGGGCTATGTGAAGGCTGTTGCTGCCCAGTGCTCCTGCAGTCCCAGGTCCTGCCTAGCCCCGGCTTCAAGCAGTGGCTTACACTGCTCCCAAGCACACATGATCCCCTCCGTGGGAGTGCCAGACAGAGCTCAGCTCTAGCATCTTGTCCCTGCTTAATCCACTTAGAAAGTTCACCTCTGGTTTCCCCTTGCCTCTCTGACTGGGATGTTTTGGAAAGCATCATCAAAAAGTCCAGTACAAGCATGGAAAGGCTGTCAGTGACTTCTTCCACTGCTTTTTAACCCTTACCAGAGTCCATGTTCAATTGTCCAAGCCTCCAGTTTTTATAGTAGCTGTGTGTGTATGTTTGTGTTTGTGTGCATGTGTGTGTGCGTGTGCGTATGTGTGAAGGCACTCAAAAATCTCATGGATATGCCCCTCCTTTGAAAATCCATGCTGAGACCATGACTTGATGACTGTTGCCTTTCTCAAGCAGTTGTGGGTTGTCTCAGGAGACATCTCCTCCTTGTCTTTCCCACTCCCTGTGATCCCATCTGCTTTTCCAGAGCATTCTACAAGGTGGAGGGAAACACCTTGTGGAGAGCCAAGCAGTCTCATATCACCCATGCTGAGGGCGTGAGGCACATCTGTTGCCGTTGGGATTTGCCAGGCAGGAACTCTGTGCTGACTGGAGGTCAGTTCAGCATGGCAAGTCCTCAAACACCGTCAGGTTGTGCTCTTGGATGTACCTGAGCAGGATCCGTGCCCGCCTGTCAATGGTCTGAAGCAGGGGTATCAGGCCCTTGGCACCGCCCTGGCTCTCCCAGAGCTCCCGGTCCACACGCAGTGACTCCAGCAGCAGGCTCTGCAGTCTGCCTGATCGCAGCGTGGCCACTGCCGCCGCTGGAAAGCTGCAGAGGAGGAGCAGAAGAGACACGGAGGGAAGGGGTTACACAGGGAACTCTGGGCAGGTAGGAGGGAAGCAGCAGGGCACTTGAGCAAAGGTGCTTCAGGAACAAATGCATGCCCACCCAGAGGAACACCGGGTGAGGAGCCTCCTGCTTAAAGCTCTGCCCATGGTGAGCATGGAGGATAGCTCCATCAGAAACAGATCCAAACAAATTCCAAATCAAAAGGCCTATAGCATGCCAAAATGCCTCACAGGCAACGACGCAAGAAATGCTGAAATACCTGATTATTCATTATTTTTGTGCAGCTGCCAATTAAAGAGGGGAAATAGGCTTTGGAGCCTGCCGTCAGTCATCCAGAGCAGAATAAAGAGCTAGTTTCATGGCAGGGGCACATGGGATATTTTTGTGAGACTGCCCACCCACCCTGTTCTGGGTGGGAGGTGGCCCTGCTTCACAGGGGTGCCCAACCAGGGTGGCCAGGAGTGGCACGAAGGTGTGCACACAGGGCTGCTGGCCATCCCACACATGCCAGCTCAGCCCTTGCCCAGGACTTGCCTCCGGGAAGGTACACATTCCTACCTGTCTATGCCTTGAAGGAGCCTGAAGTTGAGCTTCTCCTCAGGGTGCCGTGGCCTGCCCGCGTTGTCGATGAACACCAGGCGGGATGGCGCACTCCTCCGGACCTGCCAGCAGGATGGGAAGGAGAAGTTCACTTACTGCAGAGAGACACCAGTTTGTGGGTGTAGGCTGCTTTTTAATGCAGTGAGAAAGCCTGAGAGTATGTGGGAGACAGCAGATGCCCAAGTCCAGGTCTCCCCGTGCCCGGCACACCTTCCACCATGGACCCAGCATCACCATGGGACTTGTGTTCTCTTTGCTACCACCTCAGCCCTGCAAGTCCCTCCCAGCGCCTCCCAGCTATCTTTATCTTAGCGCCAGAGTAGCCTCTGGAGAGGGGGACATACCAGGATGTGGACCAGGACCAGCTCTTCTGGGTTCCGGCACTTCTCGTGGAGCATCTCCTCCATGCAGGGCTCGGAGGGATCAGGCTGAAACCCACAGCAGTAGCGGTCCAGGCGGTCATGAACCTGCAGGAGACATTTGGGAACCTTAGCAGGGATATATGCCCGGGATGGGGAGGTCCTGAGGTGAACTTTTCCTGCTCAGAGGAAAATAAAACATTTCTAGGTATTCTCAGCAGACTTGAAATGGGAAAAGATGGCATACACCAGTGAGAGAGTGAGAGGTGGGGAAGCACGAAGAAGCTTAGCTGGCTTGCAAAACTCCCTTGGCTTGAAGAAGGTGATGACAAAGGTGATGGTGACAGGCTTTCCTGATGGAGTTCAGATACATTCTGTGCCTGGTACCTCCACACTCCATATTTTCACAGAGTGAACGGGTTGTGTTTCCAGATGAAATCAAGGGAAAACGTACATGGCCATGAATGTAAAAAAAAAAACAAAAAAACCAAAAGCAAGAAAAGCACCCAAGGAAACCTAGGGTTTGAATCCTCAGAAAGACAATTTATTCTGCGTCTTGGTATTCTGGATGATGGTTTCATCTGGCTCCTGTGACATACACACTCTTTCGTCCATCCCTATAGTAACCTGAGCAGCTCTCAATGGAAAGATGAATGGAAAAGTATCGGCAGGGGAAAAAGTGATCTGTGTGTTCACAGAGCATGCCTGACATTTAAGTTGGGCCACAGTGACTTGTTTTAGCTATACTTCTGGTTAATTATTTGCAGGTGCTGCTAAGGCTTTGTGTTTTGAGCCTGTTAAACCTCCTGCTTCCCACCCCAATTCCCTGCAGAAACCCTACTGCTCCTTGGCAACTTCCAGTGTTTCAACCACACCCTCAGAGGAATGAAGGACTTTTAAAAGACATAAATCTCTGTCAGACCTGTTTTCAGTAACTCTGCCTTGGTATTCACGAAGCTTCCTCAGCTTTGTCAGAAGCAGCTGGCACAGCCTCTGTGGTGGTTTGTGGGGCAGACACGGTCTCGTTGCCTATCAGCAGTCCTCCCCATGGCTGCATGTTGCCACAGCCGTGCAGGGGGGCTGCCTCACCACCTCCAGCTCCGGAGGCCAAAAATATATAAATATATAGAAAATAAATATATTTTCTGGTTGAAGCATTAAAATGTCTGACTCACTCACTTGGTGTTGCTGGTGCCAACCCAGGAGGCAGGGCTCAGGGTGCAATGAGGCTCCTGGAGCCACCAGGAGGGCTGCAGTAAGGTAAGACCCAAGAGGTCTCAGGTAAGCCTGGAGTTATCTATGAGTGATGACTAGACAGAAGCCAAGTGACCCACAGTGGCCGCCTATTCCCTTCACCCTGCTAATTAGCACAACTTGTCAGTTACAGGCTGTGCTTTGAGAGAGTTCAGCCTGAACCCAAATACTGACCAAGCACTGGAGAAGATACTGCGGGAAACACAAATTGGGATTTCTGTGGTCATTATATTTGTAACCCTTTGCAAAGCAGGATTAGTCCCACGCTGGAGCCCCTTAACAAACCCTTCTGTTTCCTGAAGTTTAATGAAACACTTGGGTCAGCATTTCTCCATTGAGAGGCACTCCAGTTAAAAGTGTTTGAGCATTCTGACACAAAACTCATTGAAATGGAAGAAAATATTACATTTCCTCCACACACCTCCTATGTCTGCCTACTGTAAAGCTCAGCACACCGGTTTCTCTCACCTGCTATGTTGTCTTCCAGGCTGCACAGAAGGTGAAGACAGCCTGAGATGATTTACAGATACATTAAAGGGGCTCAGAGCTCTACTCACCCGCCCACAAGCACCTATGAAACCAGAGTGGATTGGTGCTGGACATGCAGAGATGTGAGGTGGAGGCGGACCTGGTGAACAAATGGAGCCCCAGGAGAGGGACCAGATGGCTGTGGAGATGCTGAGATTGCCACTGACACGCTGACAAGCCCTCTTTCCCCCTGACCCTCTCCTGATTGTTTATATTAATTTCTCCTTGCCAGAGCCTAAATGGCTCTAATACATAAGATCAAAATAGATCTTATTGCTGGAACACAAGTACACGAGCCACACTTACTCCTGTCCAAGCTCAAACCCCATGAGAAGCTCGTCTTCAGCCCCTCTTTGGTCCTATGGCCACCCCAGGGCATCCCCTTGGGTCCAGTAGGTCTTTCTAGTCATGATTCAGCCTGGGATGGTTTCCTCTACAGAAAATTTCCTTGCTTTTCCTCAGTCCAGAAGGGGGTGCTCCAGGGAAGGGATGTGGCTGCAGGGCTTCAGAGGTGATTTGGTTTTGGCCCTCTTTAAAGTGCAGGACAAAGCCATCAGCAACTTTGCCATTTCCACCAGGCTCAGCATTTTGCCCTCAGTAAAATTCTGCATGTAGAGGGAGGTTCCCTTATGGCAAACACCAAGAGAAATCAACATAGAAGAAGCCCAATTTTAAGGGTAATTGAGGAAAACTACCAAGATTCTCATGCCAATGTACAGTAGGTCTCAAATCTCACAGCCTCTCTGTCCCCAGCAAGGGCTGTGAGAGGCTAAAGCCATTTCTGAACGACGCTATTTCACTTCTACAATATCCTGCAGACTCTTTACCTTTACATGACTTTTTGCGTGGGAGAATCCCATTGGAATTATTGAGGAAAGCCTTGGATTTATCACTGCGCTGCTTCAGCCCTCCAAGGAAAACTCTCCTTAGAACCATATACTTTCTCCTGGAGACTCAGCCTTTCCACTGCACTCAGCAGCATTTTGGCCTGGGGAAGGGAAGGAGGTTGGTTAATCTTCTCATTTCTCTGGCTGTTTCAGCTAAAATATTTCCAAGCCCAGCCAGGACTGCTCTGCCTCTGCCAGTCCTAGTTCAAGGTTATAAAGATTAATGGTCAGGATTTGAGAAAAAAAAAACACAAACCAGCAACAAGAACAAAAAGAGAGAGAAAAATGAGAACATATTTAGTTTGTGTTTTTTCTTTCTTCACTTCTTTCTTTTTTTATTTTAATACTTGACCTTTCAGGCAGTTTCCCCTTATCTGATAACCAGAGCTCCAGCCCCAAGGTGCCTAAACAGGCTTTTTTTTCCATAGAAATCACTTTTACCTCCTTACAGCTGCCCTCCAAGAACTGATAACTCTCTGGGACGCTGTTGTAATCCCTTGTAGCAGCAGGGTATGATTTTCCAGAGGGGAGATTAAGTGCTACTAATGCAGAGGAGGAGGAAATCAGTGCTGTTCAAAGGGGCAGGGCTCCTCATTTCCAGTGCCAGCAGTGCATCCGTGGAGTTGGATCTGATGGGGCTGAGGCAGAAAATGCTGCTGGTCCCTAGGGATGTCCCTAGGGATGCCCCAAGCCACTGCTGGCATCTGCACAAAGCAAAGCCACAATGGCAGAAAGCTCACCCACGTGAGAGTGGACTCACCACGTCTGAAACCTGCCTGTGTTTCCCCTGCAAATCCCAAGCACGGACCATACTCAGGCCAAAGTGCTTCTGCACAAAGCTCTGCTGCTCAGCCTTAGCTGATGAGTGAAAATACATCCCAAGAGACACCACAGCCTATGTGACCCCGCAGAGGAGAAGGAGTCCATGGCCAGACAATAAAGGCTCAGATGCAGGGGGACCCAGGTGGCACAGCTGGTGGGACAGGTGGTCTCCATCCCTGCAGCCCTACCTGGAGAAGAAAGTCAAAGAGGGCCAGGCGGCTCCACTCGCCATGTGGGATTCTGGAGCAGGGGGCATCCCCAGCCACCAGCGTCAGTCTGTGGGGCTGCAGCATATCCTGATACTGCAGCCACCCCAAGGCACAGGAATTCTGGTCGTTGTTGGCATCCTCCAGGTGCTGGAGGTCAGGAGCCCACCAGATGATGGGGCGCAGGGAGCCGTCGGTGTAGCTGTAGGGCAGGAGGTGGCTGGTGAAGCGCCGGGCCACAGCGGGCAGGCTGCGGTTCAGCCCCAGCACCCTGTCCAGGTGGAAGGCCAGCACCTCATAGAGGTCCCCGGGGCGCTTGATGAGCCCACAGCGCCCATCCTGGCAGTCCCTCTCTGGGCTGGCTGGCAAGACATTCCCTTTGGCATCTCCCACGAGCTGCAGCCCCACTCGCATGACTTGCCCATGGGCAGGTATGCGGGTCTTGGAGACCACCTGCCCACTGGCCAGCAGCTGCATCTTCTGGAGGTCATCCTCAGAGAGCCACAGGGGAGTTTCCCTCTCCACACCCCGGCGCCGCCTCCTGCCCCGGCCAGGGGGCTGGTCCCGCCGTGAGCGAGTGAGGGGCACAGGGAGCCTTTCTCTGCGGCCTTGTCCTCCAGATAGCGGGTCAGCCACCTCCTGTGGGGGACCTGGGGGGGACGAGGCTGGCAGTGGGAGTGGGGAGTGGTCCGGTGGTGGGGGCAGGTGGATGAGTGCCAGCAGGGCCAGGGCCAGCAGCACCCCGACGGCTGCTGGGGCTGAGAGCTTCATCCCCAACCTTCGCCATGGTCGCTGGGCCTGCAGGGAGAGAAAGGTAGAGTGGTACTGGAATGTTAGTCCAGGAGAGTCCTCAACAGCGTTTGCTTTGGAGAAGCAGCCTCTCTGCTTGTGTTGATCCCTGGGAAAGTTGTTCCCCAAGCACTCACTGCCTTCATGGCACTGTAGCAGGAGGGGTATGGCTGGTGCCATGATTTGTGCCAGAAATTATCTGCAGTTAGAGCAAAGGCTGACCCACCATAGAGGGTGCATGTCTGCAGTGCTGATGTACAGGATCTCTTTATGGGCAATGAATTCTTCATAGCCAAATATTTTGCTTTAAAGACTGAAGAAATGGAAAAAAACAAACAAACAAACAAAAAAACCAAACCAGAGCAAATTCCTGTCTGGATATAAACAATTTCCAGTTCCTAAGAGGTTTTTATCCTTCAGACCTTACTCTGGGCACGCTCACTGATTCATATCCTGGTCGCACACTGAACCCATAACTCAGATCCCCACACCCTTGTTTGTAGGACATCTCAATGCATGCTGAGACAAGGCCTTTGAAGCTCTGCCCATCACTGTGTCCAGCAAAAGCAAGGCAGCTCCAAGTGTCAGCTGGGACCTGTGACTGCCTATGTTTTAAAAACGGGTGTGAAATGCTGGAGGGCTGAAGCACCTGTTGTATGGAGACAAGTTGAGAGAGTTGATGTTGTTCCGCCTGGAGAGGAAAAGGCTCTGAGGACACCTTATAGCACTTTCCTGAACCTAAAGGCGGCTACAAGAGAGCTGGGGAGGGACTTTTTACGAGAGTGTGGAGTGATAGAGCAAGGGGGAATAGCTTTAGACTGAGAGTAGGTTTAGATTAGATATTAGGAAAAAATTATATACATGGTGAGGTACTGGAACAGGTTGCCCAGAGAAGTTGTGGATGCCCCATCCCTGGCAGTGTTCAAGGCCATGTTGGATGGAACTCAGAGAAACCTGGTCTAGTGGAAAGTGTCCTTACCTGTGACAGGAGGGTTAGAACTAAGTATTCTTAAGGTCCCTTCCAACCTAAACCATTCTATGTGTCTGTGATATGATCCATGCTATATGTGAAATCTAAAGTCTTCTGATTCCCAGCACTAAGGAACTGCCTTTAGACAGGTACTAACAACTTTTGAGGTATATATTTTTATACACACAGGCTTCTCTCCCCCCATTTTAGTCATACTTTCTACTTTGGAGCAACTTAAAAAATTATATAGGCTGGAAAGGCTGTTATAAGCAAACATTGTGCAAGTCTCCCCGCATTGCTAAGTTCATATCTCCCCTTTGGCCTAAAGCAATTCCATGCATGTGGTGCTGAGGCTGCCCTGAGCACAGCACATTCCCTTTTGGGATGAAGTAGAGGGCAGTGTTGGGGCAGCACTGGGAGATCCTCCAAGCCAGTCCTGGGCTGCACTGCACGCCTGCCTCGTTCACCAGGGTTTGGGCAGTCTAACACATTTCTGGAGGCTGGAACCACAAAAAGCACATTGACGCCGTTTCTCTGCTTTCAACAGGCATTTCCAAGTGGCTCAAACTCACACTGGAAGTCAAGGCGGTGGTCAAGTGGATACATTTTTTTGCAATTATTTATTTTGGAAGCACAAGTATATCCATGGCAGACACAGTGGGACAATGCAATGCCAAAGAAGGGGTAAGAGACTGTTTATAAGAGTAAAAGCTTGAAAAAAAAAAAAAAAAATCTAAAAAGCCAGGGAGGTGAGAGCCAGCAGCCAGAATGACTTCCAGAAAGCAGCTGGGCAAGCAGAAACAATTCCAACCATGGGGCTTTTAGGACCGCAGGCTCCCACTGGCCACAGGGACCCACCCCCAGCACAGCTCCAGCCCCAAGAACAGGTAATCCCACTGCATGAGCCCCTTCATAAGGCGATCCAGCACTATCCCAACATCCATCAGGTTTTGTGCCCCCACAATGGCCAGGCTGCTTCAGACGGCCCCATGGTGAGGAGCCTTGCAAAGACAGTGCATCAGCCAAGGTGGATGAGAGGAGCCACCAACTTGCTGGCCTCAACCACAGGAGTGTTCCTTTAATGTCTCCCTTTCAAGGACTGAGCAGATTTAATGAAGCTTACAAGAGCTATTGATGGTGCACTTGGAGTGATTCAGCTTTATAGCTCTCATTTAATTGCTTCTCTTCCAGAGATACAATGTAGTGCAGCAAAATATATCCACTGGGCTGAATTCTTTGTTCAAACACGGCTTACACCAGTCTCTGCTGGGAGCCAGGGACTGTCTGGTACAAGGCCTTAGACCCTGTTTTATCTCTCCCTAGAATGAAAAGGACCTAGTCCAGGGTGAGGGATGTCCTGTCCTAGATCACAGGCAGGGCTATTCAGGGCTTGGCATTAACTGTCCCAGGCATCACACTGCATGGCTAAATCATTGCCTTAGGTGCCTTTCTGGGGAGGGAATGAGCATGAACACGCCCAAGCGCCCCAAGGGCAGCAGGACTTCTGTCAAGAGGCTGGTTGTGATCCAAATCCAAGTCTGGCATCCTGAGCAAGAGTTTGGAAGAGGTGGAATGTCTATATCATAGTTTAACCCCAGTAAAATAACACTGTGGCATAAAAAGGGCAGATCCTGATATTCTGATATCTATACTCTTTTTGAGTCATCACTGTGAATGCCTCACAATCTGTCCCTCTGGCCTCAAAGTATGCTGAATTAACTGCAATAACATCTATGTTATTAAACCCAAAGGACAGGATAAACTGTAAATTTCAGTATTCCCATCTGCACCCATCCACTGAGTCCCTTCTCAATCTCTGCTTCCCTGGGCAACTTTTCCCAGCACCTCCCCTGTCCTACCCCTCTGGGGAGACATGGCCCACCCCGCTCTCACCAAAATCCCCCATAACCCTCTTCTTCTGCATGGAGGGTTTTCATGGTGATTATTTTTGTCATGCAGCTGATAATAACCTTTTGGTTGCTTACACTGGCCCTGGGTATGCAAAAAGCCTGGCTCCCAAAAATCCCAGTATCCTGGAGGGGTGCATGTGGGACCCACTTGCAGAACCTTCAAAATACTGCAGGAAAAATCCTTTTTAACCCACAGCTGGAGAACAGAGGATGCCAAACAGATGGCAACAATTGCCAGGTTTTTAATGTAAAGTCAGTTTACAGTCCAAGTGGTTAAGGAATCATTATTGTCCAAACTCACTTTGTCTTCCTTGTCAGTGAGCTCGGGTTTGGGCACCACAAGTTTGAGCTTCATCGCTTTCCCACCCTACGCTTGAAATCCTGAGCTGTGAAGCTGGGCAAGGGCCAGCACAGGCTCCCTTCCCCAGCGCCATTCAGGATTTCCCTGCCACATCAACAACAAAAAGAAACAAAAAAAGTGCAAGTATATTCTCTGTGTTATTTCTGACGGTTGATAGTGCAAATTTAATAACAATCTAGGTGATAAAACACTGCAGAAATGATACTGTATTTACAAGCCCCAGGAAAATACTTTTCCAAAGAGAGTTTCTCTGAGTCCATGCTGTAAAAAAATGCTGCAGTTTAAGCTATGGCTTCAATTCAGCCCAAAATGCAAACCATACGTACAGCTTTGCTTTGCCAGGCTGACATACTGACAGTACAGCACATCTTTGCCAGAAATTAGGTTCTTTTCCCAGCAGGCAAAACCCATAAAAAGGCTTAAGAGAGGTACTGCTTGTTCCAGGATGCCAATAAGTAAATAATATATACTCTCACTCATCAGAGGGACATACAGCACAGTCCAGGCTCTGAAGGCACAGTGGAGAGCTGTGCAGCTTTGATGGTTGGAGATAAAACTTTCTAAGTGTGGTTGCAGGGGGGAGGGCTATCCTTGACATTGTATCCCCAGGATGGTTGAACCTTGGCAGAATTTGAAGCAGAGAAGCCTGTTTTCAATTTCTTTTCAAAATGCATCAAATTGGCTTTGCCAAGCTTGAAAGAAAAGAAAAACAACCCCCAAACTTCATTATCCAAGAATGTAAGAAACAGCCCTGAGACAAGAGAGATGCCACGGAAATACGTGGCCGTTGAAAACAGAATCAATCCCTGCTTCCCTCTGGCATTTAAAGGAGTGTTCCTGCCCTTGCACTGGCACTGCCAGACCCCTCCAGCAGTAAATGCCACCGTCCCAAAGAGGTTCCCAAGGAAGCACACGGCTCAGCCATAGCCATGTCCTTCTTGGCTACTGGCCCGCCTTAGGCTCCCAAGCTCAGATGACTTTGCCAAAGGCAACCTGCTAATGAGCGGGTTAAAAGCAGGTATGTGCATTTATCTGGACACACACTGAGTGGGGTGTACTTTGCATAGGGGGTGCAATGCTAAGAGCTGTGCTTACCCTCACCCTCCCAGCACCGTGCTCGCTGCCCGCCCAATGAACCGCAAAACCGCCTGGGCAGCAGGAGATGCAGCCTGCCGTGACCAATTTTAACAAAGACTGCTTGAAAACAAGTGGGAAACCTCCTTTGGCTGCCCCCCACCTCTGGGAACGTCTCCAGAGCCTTGCACCCACACGTGGTGCTTGCAGAAGCTCCTGGTATTTTGGGGAGATTAAGCATGTCAATCGGATCTGGGAAGTGAACAGCCTCTATTTTTTCGTATTGTGAAGGAGGTTTTTTGGTTAAGGGCACGGCATATGGCACATGGGCTAAGCTCACTCCTGGGGACCCATAACAGTGCTGAGGACACAGAAGAAGACAAAACCCCTCCATCCCCAGAATGACTCCTGGCAAATCTGAGCAGAAGGAAATCCTTGGCAGCATCCATCGCTCATCATTCAAGTGCCTTCCTATATTATCCTGCTCAGAGAAGATGGATGGCTCTCAGAGTGGGAAGTTGCTGAAGACATCTATTAAATGATGATTGCCAGTCCCCAAGGTAGCTCTGGCTGTGCACCCAGCACAAAGATACAGCCCTGGATCCCACCACCACCCACCAGCACCTCCATCGCCATGGGGCACAAAGAACAGACAGCCCTTCACCTGGCCTCACAATCCATCAAAGTGGCTGTAATTCCTAGCAGATCTGCACCAGCTCTGTGTCTGGGGTTGTTTCCACCAGGGATGCAGGGTTTTTTCCTCCAAAATGCCCTTCAAGTGTGAAGGATCATGACCCCACTGCATTTCAGCACCCTGTGAAGGCCACCATGCACAGTGTCAAGGCAGGGGTGTGGCAGGCTGTCTAAAGTGCTCCTGCAGACACAGTTCCACACATTGCTGCTCACAAGTGGCTTGGGAAGCTCAATTCAGGCACTGAGGAAGTGGGAAGGGGGACTGTGCTCCCACAAACCCTATGAGAGGGAGTCAAAACTAATGCTGGGTCAACTGAGGCTGGGGAGATGGAAATGTGGCACATCACCACATGGTGCTGGGTCCTTCCCTGCAGAGTCAGCAAAGTCTTCATAGCTGGCACACAAGCCTTCCCACCAGCATGTCCAAAACCAAACCAAAGAATGACCAAGTTAAATTGCTTGGGATGAACTTTAAAACACACTGTACTTTGCTAAATTTTGGGCAGTCCGCAAAATTTCTGCCTCCAGAGGATAATTTATAGCCTAACTGCAAGACAAGTGTGCTTTGCACTAACAAAGGGCAACATTTCGGCAGCAATATAAGGGGATGAGCAGTGTTGGTACCATTTGATCTGAGCACTGACTTTAGAGGGATGGTTCCAACATGCTGCCTTTAACTTGTCAAATAATGTTGCCTTAACAGTTCTTCCCAGTTATCACTACAGCCTTGGGGTAGCAAATTATAAAAACCTTGAAACCCTCAAGTTCCACAGCCTCTGGCATGTCTTTGGCTCCAGGCTCTGCATCAGCCCCTTGAGCTTTTTGCTTCCCAGGGGTGAGAGGTCCTATCTGTTGCTCTAAGCCCCCCACCCAGACTGACTATTTCTGTTTTTTGGAAGCCCTTTACCCTGGATGTGCTTCTCTGCACAGCCATAGGCTGAGCACAGTCCCCTCTCACATACCCCATCATCCAAAGGACCATTTTAAGCAAAATCTTCAGCCAGTGCTGGAAACTGCTCTGCATAATGGAAAATTCCAGCATTTGTATGTAACAGTGCCATTATTATTGCACTGACTGGTCACAGTTGAGTTACAGACTAAACAAGTACAGCAGAAACACAGGCTTGTAAACCCCCCACCCAGCAATAGCCTACAAGAGTGGCAAGGCTCCCAGCATCCCATATGTCCTGTTCAACATCTCTGAAGAAGGAAGACCTGGGGCAGGAGACAGAGGACACCAGGAAGGAAGTAGATGGCCAGCACCTGGGTGGAGGACACCCCACCACAGGGTGCAGCTGATGCAGTGAAGGTCAGGACTGCTGCTTGGGGGTACCCAGAGAGGACACACATCTCATCCTGCAGCTGGGGTGGACTAAAGCCCTGCAGGGTACCCACAGGAACTTGCTTTTCCTGTGATGACACCGTCCTTACTCCTAAATCATGTGATTTTCACTGAGCAAAAGGAAAGATTCATAATTCTCACTCCCCCTGTGTAAATCTCAGCTTGCAGGGAGTTAATACTCAGGGATGGACAGGGCACTTTTCATCACCATGCTATGTACAGTGCATCTTAGGACCCTCCAGTTTAATCCCAGAAATCAACACAAAGCACCACAAAAATAAACAGCCTCCAGGATGCCATACTTCTTTTGCTTAAAGTAAGCAAACTAAAAGCTTTCAGATGCCTCATTCTTCTGCTTAAGTTCAGACTCAGGGATTTTATAGCAGACTCTTGCACTTAGCTGCATCTTCTCCTTCTTGGAGACACATCTCCCAAGAGATTGATGGTCCTAAGAGATTGATGGTCTTTCAGGACACATCATCGAGATGCACAGGTCTGCTGCCACTACCTGTGCAAATATCTCCATTACTTTTCAAAAAAATGACATCAACCTGCACCCAAATCATCCAGGTCACTGAGGACCTGAAACAGCACTTCATGTTCACAGGAGCCGACAAGGACCTGCACAGCCCTGAGTGCACGACTGCCCTGCTTGTCTCACGGGACAAGAGAGGTCCTCCTCATCTTCCCTCATCTCCCTTCGCTCTTTCCTCTAACCCTCACACCCATGTGTGAGTAGCACAACCTAGAAATCCTGGCAGAGACATCAAGGAGGGAGAGCAGTGGGTTTGGGTGACTATTGATTTCTCACTCCCCCACTGCCATGCAGAATCCCGACAGGTTTCCCTTTTCCCCCTCCCCTCATCCCAGAGAGTAGTTTCCAATTGCTCTGTCATTTGCCTAGTATGAGGCAGTCGTCCCAGTTTCCCGGCCAGCCTGTTGCACTCAGCTCCATTAGTTTTTAGAGCAGCTTTCCCATCTGCCTGCTGAACCAGCACGAAGGGGGCCCCTTCCCTGGTGAAACAGATGTGGCTTGCCTTTGTGCAACATCTGCGCCTCATGCCCCGCTCATTTTGAACAGTCTTGCCTTTGTTTGTGAGGGGTTGTACACAGGATGCTTTGGAGGAGGGCAGCAGCCTGCAGTCCACAGGCTGGACTCCTTCCCTATAAGTTCCACATACAAACTGCCTCAAAACCCCTGGGTTTCTTCTGGTGAAGAAGAAAATGCTTTGTTTCTGCAGTGTTCAGGAATCCTGCTCCTCAGCACTTCTGTTCCAGTCGCAGCCAGTAGCTCACACTGATGATTCCTATGGGACTCCCAAATCTGGAAATGTAAGAGCTGGACTCTGGGAGCCGTGGACCCCCTTCCTCACAAGTCCCCTCACCCCAGTAGCTTCTCTTGCTGCACCTTTGGGCTGCTCACCAGCTCTGGCTTAGCAGCCCCAGCGGGGCTGCACTGCTTTGGCTCCTCCACACATAACAGTGTCAAAGAGCAGAAGTGCTAGAAAGCCACGTCTCTTTTGCAATGTGTTCTGGGTTATATGTAATATGGGGAGAAATACATTAAAATAAAATCAAGTTTTATTTCCTCTTGCTCTTGATGAGTTTACCAATCCTGCTGATGAGTACCTGGAAAGCTGCTAAAACTCTCTCACACATTTTTGGCACTCGGTCCAGTTTTATTTATTTTACTGGAAGTCGTGTTACTTCTGTATTTTGGAGAGGGGATGTTTTGATCCACTTATTTTCAGTTTTCATTTCTAACAAGTGGACCAGCATCAGGAAACAGGAATGCTTGCTTGGTGCCCAGCGAGAGCTTGCAAAACCCACTTTGGGGTGCTGGCAAGGGGCTGCACTGGATTCCCTTGTTGGGGTTTCAGTGGAT